CTCTCTCTCTCTCTCTCTCTCTCTCTCTCTCTCTCTCTCTCTCTCTCTCTCTCTCTCTCGCTTTCGCTCTCGCTTTCTCTCTATGTACCTCTCTAGCTCTCGCTCTCGCTCTCTCGGCCGCACTCACCTCCACCCCCTCCCGAGCTGCCGCCATTTCCTTCCGCTCCACGGCTTGCTCGAGCTCTGCCCTCTCTCTTTTCCGCCTCTCGATGACCTCCCACACCCCAGACGTCACCACCGTCGGTGCCGGCACAACAATCTTCGTCCGTTCGTTTCAGCAAGTTAATGCCAACGTAGGACGGGTGTCAAAAAGCAAATAGTTCGATAGTAATGCGCACCGTATCGTAGCCCTTCGTCCTTCAAGGTCATTTAGTGGCATTGTGATCATCATCAGAATTTGGGTATGAGGAAACTCGTGTAATAACGTGAGAATAAATAGGCTTTGGGTTTCTGCGCCGGGTGATTTATTTTGCCGGAAAAAACGATCCTCTCTCAAGGAGAAAGGAATATGATGTGGAGGCGTTCACGTCAGAGTTGAGTAGACGTAGTGTACGCTAGGTCTAACGTTGGAATGTTGGCTTGTCTACGGTCCACAAAAACAAAGCTCACCGCATGAGACGAACCATTTCCCTTTCCCGACGGGTCCGGAGGTGATTCTACTGCTGCTGCTGGGTGGCCCCATCGCGCGCGAACGCGAGGCGTTGGGGGCTGAGGCAGCGCCGCTACACCTTCTGCTGCTGCCGGATATACAGGCGGTTGACCTGCTTCTGCTTCTGGTGTTGGACCTGGTGCTTTCGCTGGTACCGACGCCGGTGATGGCGCTGGCGCGGGTGGTGGCACGGGTGTTGTTTCCACGACCGTCGCAGGAGTTGCTGCTGCCGCCTCGAACGGTGGATCTGCTGCTGTCGCTGGCACTTCGGCCGTCGGATGGCCAACAGAAGCGGCGGTCGTGACGACCGGCGAGACGGAAGGGGGGGTAGCGACGGTGGTGGCTGTCGTCGCTTCTTGCTGCGTTTTTTGCTGCTGTTGTTGCTGCTGTTGGTGGTGCTGACGCGAGTTTCGAATTGACTGAAGCGCCTCTCGCGCCTCTTTTGCCTTCGCTGCGGCGGCCTGATTGAAAACGTTTCATCGGCGACAATGGCGCGATTTAGAATCAAGGGCGGCTTGCTTTCGGAGAGCATGGGGCGGTCAACCGGTGCAACCGCCATCCCACGAGGAAAACAACCCGACGTCTTGTTGGGACTTCAGCTTGTAGAACCATCTAAGACGAACATATTGCACGGGGTTCGCGCACACCTGGATCCCCATGGATGTGGGGCAAGCCCGTGAAAAGCTCATGTTGTTCGCGGTGGTAGTATTATCTTCATATCAAAACCTATTTTAACTCTATCCAGTCCTCTTGTTCCAACTATTCGAGGCAAAGGAACGGGTTTGAGGGGTATCGGCACCCCATTAGTCTAAGGGAAAGCTGAAGTGCTACAAAATACAGGACCCCTGAACAAGTCGTATCACTCGCTGGCGCAGCAAACACCCTCTATGTTATTTTATATTCAATGTTGTGTTTCATTGCGACCTACAAGTCAACATCGGCCCCAACAAATGAAGCAACGCCAGCCGGAAACGGCGCTTCGAAATATGCATCGACTACCACGCCGCACCTTTGATGCCGCCGCCGCAGCCCGTTGACGGCGCTGCTGCTCCCTTTCGAACATTTTGCGATCGAGCTCCACCTTTGGCAGCCAAACATTTGCAGCCGACACACAGTAACGATCAATGTTGCAGCTTCAAGCTTCGCTTGTTGGGTGACAATATCGAAACATAGTGAGCCCCACAAAGTGTGATTGAAGAGAAAGAGCAGGACCATCAGTAGTTCCATATCTCCCAACAAAAAAAATCCTCGACGTAGCTCAGAGTTCCACTCGAACACCTGGGATGAGAGCTCTACGGTACCCTGATAAGCACACCCGGAAACGCCATACATACCTATGTGCCATATACGTTTCACGTTCAAAACAACGGTTGACATTCAACAATGACTTGAAACCGTTGTGCAGCCTTTGCATCCATCGCAAACTATTCGCCCCACGTTGACGGCAATGCCCCTTGCTAAAGGAAGGGGTCTAGACCCTGACGAACATGCGGTCATCGACGTCGTGTACTGACCTTGTCCTGCCGAAGGCGGTCCCTGTCCCTTTCCCTCTGGAGGGCCTCCTCCCGCTTGCGCGCTTCCTCTCGCGACGACGCTTCGTCTCGCTGAAAATCGTGTCGTAGTGGACAAATGGACAACAAAGAAAACCACAACAGTGACAACGGCGATGATAGCGACCGTGGGGTAAGCAATTCGCGTTGTCAATGCGAGATAGGTGGGTCAACTACTACATGTGCGTCTCAGAGCCAGGTATCTACTTGGCGTGCCGAGCGTTCTTGAGTACGGAATGGCGACGCAGATGACCTCTCGCATCGAAACCTGCGTGCAACCAGCCGACATAGAATGAAAGCGACACGCCAGCATCTTTTCAAGTAGGACGGGGAGCAGCGAGTAGTATCTTGGACGGTGCTCGGCTGTTTGCATGGAGTACGTAGGATGGAATTCTGGAATGGTAGAATTCAGACGCGCAGGAATGACAGGGCCCGCAACCGCAGTGGCGACCAAAGCGTGGCCCTTCACAGCGTTTGTGCAGGCAAATGCCCTGCCGATAATCGACCAAGCTGCAATGTCGTACGTCTCTACGCGACAAGCATACACCACGCCCTCCCTACCCTGATCATGGCCGCTGCAGCGAGCCGTTCAGCCTCCCTTGCCCTGCCGAACTTGTCGAGATCCTTTACCCGAGCCACTTCGGATTGGTCGGCCGCGAAGCTTCGCGGCCTACCCCCTCCCCCACCCCCCGCTGCCGCCGCCTCGCCCATCCCGGGAGAAGCAGCCTTGCTACGACCCTCGCCTCCCCCGAAGCTTCGGCGACGGCTCTGGTTTACGGGTATACGCGTGACACGTATTACGAAAGCAGTATTGCCTGTGTCAAAGCTTGCAACAGTCACTTGATTGTTCAGATTTCTGCTTGCGCTGTGTATATTAAGGAACGGGAACACATTTTGCTGGTCTGGGGCAGTTTGGCGGGGTGACAAATGGTTCCCTTGTGATGCACCTGTGGCCCAGCATGCATGTTTGTTCCGTGGCACGTGAGGAGGAAGTAATCACTTTTTATAGCACGATGTTGAGGTTAACGCTTCAACCTAAACAACAACAACAATAACAAACATCGGCCGAAACTAGGAACGACGACGACGACAACACACCTGGATCCGGGCCGGGACTTTTCTGTCCAGAATCTCTCGGCGGTCCTTGCTATCCGCACCAAAGACCGGAGGGCATGGTCCAAGCATTCAAAACGATAGGCAGAAAAGATCGTACTGGGATATTATTTTCCGCGCGGAAGTTTCAAGGTGGGATAAAGATGAGGGCTGCTGGACGGCATATACCGCAAGTATACAGTTCACGATGTACTGTGGAGTGGTGAGTGGAGATGGAACATGAGTGACGACAACAGCAGCAGCAGCAACTACAAAAAAATAGCAAAGACGGCGGCGACGACGACGGCAACGATGACGATGACGACGACGACGGCAACGGACATCTCGACGACGACGAAAAAGGCGACAACGACAACCTGCCAAACTATTACCACGAACAACGAGAGCAGTAACGAACAAGAGAAGAACGAGCACACGAACAAGGATGGAGCGTGTTTCGTTGCCGTCTGCAAGAGTGGAAAAGGACAGTCTGTACAATAACCGCTCTTACCGGGGCTCTAATGATCGGCGGCCTTCCCTGCTGCGAGGGGTGGCCTGCCCGTGAGCGTCGGGGCTTGCTCCCGCCCACCTTTGTCTCGGCTCCTTCGACCCCCCCCCAGCTACAAGCAAACCTCCGACTCTCCGCGCCGCGGCAGCCTTCGAGGAAGACGGGCATGAAGACGAGAGGAACCAACGGACTGAACGAAAATCCACGAACAAAGAAGACCGCGGTTCATTTAAGAGCTTCAGGTTAAGGTGTGCTGCGATGAACGCTTCGCGGATTTTCACGCACTGGATACCTACATATTCGAAAAATCCATGCATTTTGGTTCGAGCTTGCCCAGGAAGCAAAATCGTTCTACATATCCTTATTCATTCTTTCGAACAAACTTGCCGGCTATTCTACCATTGGGCCCAGTTGGTCGGGACTTTGCCTACTCTTCCGCTCGTCTTCTTTCTCTCGCTTGAATACGAGAACACCACCCACGATGGGTGAAGCCTTACAGCTTATCACGGAAGCGTTGCGTAGCACAAAGATCCCCGGTATCCAACTCCGAACCTGCACAACGACATGATCTTGAGGTACGCAGCCCCCGCCGCACTACGAGACACGAAAGACGAACCTCCACCGTTCGCTCGAAGAGCACCTCGGACTACGATGTTGTGGTGCATGCAAAAACAACACCGCCCTCATGTTCGATAATATCCACGATACAAAGTAATTCAAGAGACAATCAAGAACCAGGCAAGCCAAATGCAGAATCTAACCGCATCCTCGTCAAAATTGACCACCGCATAGACCCAACTTACCTCGAGCTGTTGCGCAGCCGCCCCAGCATCACCTGACCCCCTCCTGCCCCTTGCTTCGTCTACAATGGAAACCCCGCTGTTCTCAGCGGCAGCGGCGGCAACCCCAACCCCCACAACCCCTGCTTGCCACGCCACACCGGCCCGACTTGGAACGTTGTTGGAGCCGCCACCGCTTGGTCTTGCTGGTATTGGTGCTGACGGAGGGGGGGGGGGGGGGGNGGGGGGGGGGGGGGGGGGGGGGGAGGAGGCGCTACTGGTGGCAGATTTCTGCTCTCGCTGGCGTGCCGTAGTCGCAGGCGCTCTTCCCTAGAGGGTCGGATGACGAGTGGGGAAAGGGGGAAAGGATGAGAGGGACGGAGCGAATTTAGTACCCATCTTGCTTGCCAAATACATATCTCTTTTCGTAGCGCTCTTGGCAAGGTGGTCAGGCATGCCTTTGAGAAAATAGGAGACTAGTAGACAACCGTCAACATGGTTTTGAACGCGTACGGAGAGTTCTGACTTTTTAGAATATGCGCTGTGGTGAATACGCCTCAGTTGCGGAGGTGAGGAGACTGTCCACAAAATCGAACAGGTACAGTTACGGAGTATTACAATGGCCGCGTCTTTTGGTAGAGGGTATACATACGCCTTTTACTGATTGGTAGGCACTCGCCTCTCCTTGCGGAGAGTCACATTGTACCGATGTCTCAAACCAAGTTTCCGGCCGTCCGATTAAGTGAAACACTTGAGCCGAGTAGAAACAACATCAGCACTGGTTCTGGGGCAGCGTCATTCAGGAGGTACAGGTAGCACACCTCTCTTTGCGGAGTCGCGCCAGGGCCGACTCGACGGCCTTCCGGCGGTCCTCCTCCCGACGAAGAGCGCCCCTCTGCTCCTTCACGACCTGTGTAGTGTTCCGTGGGCCAGAGCGAACAGCGACAAGTTTGTGTCTATCTAATTATTAATTGGTGTCTTGGTGACAAGCCGCTCGGTGTGGCTATTGGTACGGTTTCTAGGTTATGCTCGCGGCGGTGGCGTCGAGACTGTGGTTGCCTGAAGGTCTTGTCGATGCAAAATATCATGACTGTCCTTGTGATACCCTCAGATGATTGATTCCACCGCCTCGAAACCTCCGCTTCGCCCGGTCTCCCGATTTGAACGTGGGAATACGCCCCGGAACAAGCGCTAGAAACAGGTTGCAAACTCAAACGTTGTACTGCTTGTGTGTGTTAATCGCCGTGAGACAGTGTTCTAAAAACCCGTGTTAGGCTACTGTTCTAAAAACCCGTGTCAGGCTAGCAACTCCCGACCATAAAACACCAGCAATTACCAAACTTGGCGTCTTGACCTGGAGATTGTCCAAGCAGAAAGGGGTCAATGAGCACGAAGAAATGACGCGGCTGGGCATAAGGAGAGACATGTTCCCACCATCCTTGAATGCCAGCAGCTTGTTGTGTTGAAATGCTGGTTAGACAGTTCATGTTTGGACCCTGGAACAGGCGTTCATTTTAAGTCACGTGGGCGGCCCTGCAGTTGGTAGTGTTTTTTGCCAGAACTGGTTCCATCTGGTTGGCTCCAATGTATGCCGGGCCATGTCACTCTACACAACACGCTCGTTAGGTTTATCCTGCACGTTCCCCCCTCGTATTCTTTTTCGCAAGCGACCTATCGACCGTCGTACCCTGTTCCCGTTGCTTACCTTAGCAGCTGTACGGGCATCGGTCGGCCGGACTGTTTCTGGCGGGTTCAGGGCCCTCTTTACCTCCTCCTGCAATGTTGGTTACACATTTATGCGGTGCGGCCTGTGGTGACTCATGCGGTGCGGCCTGTGGTGAAGGGGAAATGATCTCGTCATCAAACCATAATTGAACTAATCACACCCGCCGTGCCCTTCGCTGTTGTTTGCCCGACATCGTTCTGATGCACTAGGATTGGTGTTCTGTTCCCCACTGGATGTATGCCCTTGCTACATGCCTCTGCCTGAGCACGAAGAGTAGCTTACCGTCGAGAGCCGTAAGTGCCATGAACGCTCACACATTCATTGTTTATCGGTTGCAGGCAGCGTTGTCACGCTGAATGTGTTGATATAAACGCTGAATGGCTACCATTGATTCAACAACTTTGCTCTCGACCAATTAAGTGCATCTCGGAATCTTGGGTTCGAATGACGGACTTTCCGTCGTCTTGCTGGGGAGCGTGAGTAACGCAGATTAGGGCGATCAGAGGTAGGCGGGAGAACGACCGCCGAAATAAAAATGACAGGGTTTGACAACTCACAAGGGACGCTCTACTTATTTCCTGAATCATACGGGGACCTACGTGAAAGGGGGCAGTCGCAGAGAACGAGTGAGTCTCAAGTGTCTCGTGTTTTACCTGCAGTCCTAGCTCTTCCATCTGCCTCTTGAGAGCCAGCATGTCTTGGTTCGATCCCAATCCCGCGATGTCGCCGTTGTCGTCGTAGCCAGGCGCGCTCGATGGACCCTAAGACGTTCCGTTGCCCCGCACCAAATCGAATTGCACCCCCCAAGAAAAGTGACACGCGCAAAAGGGTACAGTGTTTCAACACTAACGATTTGATAGAAGGTTGGGTCGCCGTATACACGACGGCAGCGTAAAGATATGCTTCAGAACTAGTGTTCTCTCTACGCGGTGCCTCTATTACCGTTGAAATACTGTATTGCCAAGCGCATCGGTCCACTTGGAAATGCCTCGGAAACAGACATACCGAGTTTTCTCTACCACCCTCCAACCCCCCAATCCCGCAACAGATGTGCCTGCTGGGCGTGGAATGTGAACTCAGTCTACCGATGAATGCCTCCCACCCCCTGCGAGCTTGGTCATGGCGGAGTCCTCAAACGCACTGACCCGTAAACAAGGACGGGACATCGCGGTTCTGGTGTCAGCGCTAGGCAGGCCCTTGCCCCCCGAAGACAAACACGCTAACAACATGCAAGCATTTCCCTTGCTTGTCCAGGCATGGAGGAGATCTCCGACGTGCCGATGTTTTCACTCAACATTGAACGCATCGGGTTAGCTTGCTACACGATCTCCATGCCATCAGCCTGACGGACCATGGACAACCGGACTCCTACACATTTGGCGTCTTCACAAACAGGGAACCAATTCACTCAAAGCATCGAAGCAAGGCATCCGATTGTCGGGAGGGGAGATTCTCACCTCGGCGTCTGCAAGCATGTTGACGGCCGCGGCCTTGAGCACCATCGTCCCCTCTCCCATCTTGTGGGACTCTCTCGACACGATGTCCGCCAGGAAGTTGTGTATGTGCTTCTTTATGAACCCTAGCTGAAGGATCTACGGGCGGGTGACAACCAAACCGAGGCGTACCAAGGTGAAACCTTTCAGGCAAGGCCATGTCAACAGTGAAATATTAATGACAGCTCGGCGTGGCTTCCCGGTCCGGCCAATCAGCTTTGGGCGATACGCCGTGCACCCCTCGGCCGTATCAACCCGATGTAGATCATCCTACATGGGTTTCGACCTTCTAACCTGGCCTATACTGAGCCTCCCAAAATCGACCTATTCTTCAAACCATGATCATCAGCCGCTCTGAACAGAGATCATTTCCCTGACGTAGGGGACCTGATTGAGACCATCCTTAACCCCGACCCATCAACACACGCTGGAGTACCTGGTCGAGATCTGGCCGCTGGGAGGGCGAAGTGGCAAGCATCCGGCTGATCAGGTCGCGTAGGTTTCGGCTGTATTTGACGTGAATCGACGGGTACCGCCCCTTTGCCACGCGCTGGGCGAGGCCGTGGAGGCTGTCGCACGATTTGTTTTGCCCGTCCGTAAGCAAGGGGAGACGTGAGAGGAATGCGAAAGAGAGCAACGACTTGTTGGCATGTAGTCACTGAAAGGTGTAATCATGAGCCCCTGATAACGCTGTTTCTCCCATTTACGTCGCACAGCTCACAGAACATCAAGCGCTGTGGCAACAAGCCAGAAAGGACGTTTTATATCAAGACCGAAAAAGAACGATGATACCGAATTCTCTATTGGCACAGCTCCCACACACTAGTCCAACAATATCCAGTCACGATGAGATCGAATTGCCGGAAAGCACCAAAACCCCCCTGACCACGTCAGTAGATACTGCTCCTGCGACATCTACCACTGTCCTCTTCCTGTCTTAGTCTTCTCGCCTGTCTGTTGCCCCCCCCCTCGCTTCCCTGCCTCACCTAGTTGCGTCGAAGGCGTGGCTGAGCGCCGACATCTCGTACAGAACGCACCCGAGGGCCCAGATGTCAGACTTGTGGTTGTAGGGCTTGTTGTCGAAGAGCTCAGGGGACATGTAGTACGGCGTTCCAATTCGTGTGCTGGCAAAGTCCATCGTGCCCTCCAACACCTTCCGCACCCCCGAACGGTTGTCATGCGTACGGGCATATGCTGTTCTGTTTCGTTGGTTTCTGCGAGGTTAAGATTTATTTTTCTTTCTACGAGTGGTAAGGGTGTCTTTTGCTATGCATAATAGATACGGAGCATTGAGATGTAACCGAACTGTTCTGTAATCTCGCGCCCCCCACCCCTCCATATTAATATCCGAGCGTGCAATACCATTGGGCCGTGTCCATACCCACATGAGAGTGAGAGTGGAGGTGACCGGCAACAAATGTACGCACTTTCAGATGATAACGAAATATTACGAACGTGTCTAATTGCCTCTTCGTGAATGAACTGGTTTGGGTCGAATACATGGGATTGCGGTGAACACCATGTAGAGGTCCACAAGCCTTTAGCCTATGAAGATTTGACGACGTCGACCACAACAACAACAACAACAGCAACAGCAACAATTCAACACACCTTTGATATCCCAAGGTCGCCTAGCACCAGCCGGCCATTCCCCAGGAGGAAAATGTTCTGCGTCTTAAGGTCTCTGTGGAGGACGAGGCGGCTGTGCATGTAGTGCAGACCAAGCGCGATCTGAACGAACCAATGGAGGATCTTGCTTTCGGGAAAGAGCCGCTTCCTAAGCAAACACGGCCAATGTTACGCACGGAAGAGAGAAGGTGTGGTCTTGCTATGATATCCGCCAAGGTGCACTCCATGGAGCACCTGGCTGTTCCAAAGTAGTCTTCACAAGCGTAGCAGTAGCATGACACTTGATAACATAGGTACAGTTCCAAAGTAGTCTTCATAAGCATAGCAGTAGTATGGCACTTGAAAACATCGATATTTGAGTCAAACGTGGGCTTGCCAAGACGATTGATGTCCTGGCATGTCGTTTTGGTCTGGTTCCAACGCAAGGCCAGTAAAGAAAATGTTGCGAAACAAACAAAATGTCACAAGTGAACGTGCTGCCCCGCACGTGAAAGCGCAGCACGACCGACCCAAGCTAGGGGTGCAACATCAAGTTTCTACCAGAAGGCTCCCCTCACACTCTTAACCACCACCTCAAGCAACGAAAAGAGGACCAAGGTCATACTTCTTGCGTGATTTACAACAGTCTCACGGCTAAGACTAGACCACACGTTCAAACCTTACCGCGCGTTCTTGATTTGCGTGCTGAGGTCGCCCCCGTCGCAGTACTCCATAACGATGCATAGGTGGTCCTTTCGCGGGGTGAGGAAAGAGTCCTTGTAACCAACAATGTTCGGGTGGTGCAGCCTCCGCATGAGATCCACCTGCGGGTGCGGCAGGCGGTTTCATTCCATGGTTCACGATGGACATGCGATACTACACCTCAGAAGTGATCCGCTGCCCGTGACAAAATATCAGCCATGCTGAGCGTGCGTGAAGTATTACATCGAACCTATGATCGCACCAACAACGCATGGTGTGGAGCTGAGTTCATCCTCAAGGCTACTATTACGCAGCAGTTCCCTTTTGTTTTGAGTATTGCTTCCTTCATACCGCATCGCATCCTCAGAACTGAAAAGTAAAACTAAAAAAATAACAAACCGCACCCAACCCATATACAGAACGCGCCACAACTTCAACCCTTTTAGCTACAGTTCTGATCGCAGTTCGATTACTTATCAGCAGAAATATGGCAAGCACACATGGGCGCCCTCTTCCTGCTGTACGATCCTTTCGGCCGTGATCCATTCGTGTATGTACCTTCGCGATTTTGTGCACACACGTGAAGTTTGGAGCATTTGTCTTCCAAGAGCCGCTTGTCGAGGAGGAGGCCACAAAAAAAGTCAGAATGACTCATTCACTTAAGGTTAGGGCATCTTTTTGTGGCCAATTGGACGCTTCACGAAGAAGGTTGTTCAATGTAATGTACGAACACTCAGCGAGTGACGTTGAATGGCGAGCATCGTGTCAGCAGTTCATCGTAGTCGGTGTTGATCATTGGTTTCACATCGGTTGCAGTTGCTTGCTCCATCGCCGAGAAGAAAGGGACTTGTTTTTCTCTCGAATTGCCATGTATGTGTGAAATACAACGGCTCCAAATACGATCAATTTGACGTGGGAATGTTGCAGACAGTCGGTTGGACTGAGGTCAACAACATATTCGCCTGATTGAGAGCGTAGCATCTGATTGAGAGCGAGATTGCGCGATACGCTGTAGCCGGACTACCACTGAGAGGTGGAGCTTGCTGTGTAGCTTGAATTGAAGGGCTAGCCCGTAGCTTCAAGCCGCTACCCTGGTCATCCTGTGGGAGTCTCTCGTTGTGGAGCTACAGCGGGGAGCAGAAGCTACAGCAGAGCCCACCGCCCGACGCGATACCGCCCTGAAACAGTTTGAGCAGAAATAGCCAATCTGGGCAAATCTAGCAACTTGTCTAGCTCCTCGCTGCAGCATCCGATGACGATGACACGCATATGCTCGCGAAGCTGCTGATGAGACCTTCAATTTGCACCGCTTCTTGGAATAGCCCGTCCCCTACTTGCCAAGAAATGGCAAGAGGCGTCTGGACCCGAAATTTCATTTTTTTTGGCTCTCGCTCTCAATCAGATACTTCGCTCTCAATCAGGCGAATATGTTGTTGGTCGTGGATTCGAGACTAGCGGCAATCACGACGCAGGTAATCAAGCCAGGAAAACAAAATGCAACACTATCACCTGAGCGAATCGAACGGGGAGGCAATTGCTATACATAGGTCGACCCGTTCACCCCGTGGGGTACCGTCACATAGGACGCATGCCTATGGATGGATACAATGGAACGTTGATGTTGCCTATAAGCATGACAGGTTTGAAATTACTGCAACAGACGTGCTCTAGCACACCAGCGATAGGTGACACACTGTTGCAACAAACACGCATCCCGTACAGGTTTGAAAATACTGCAACAGACGTGCTCTAGTACACCAGCTATAGGTGACACACTGTTGCAACAAACACGCATCCCGTACCCAAGGAGCAAACGTGGGCTACTCCAGAGGTGGTCTCATAAGGCGGACCGATTTCAAGGACCCTCCCGGCCAACAACAACAATAAGGGCAAACCTTGTCACCTTAGTGGCATGGGGGAACTATGACATGGTGGCAACACTGGGTTTGATACAGTGGGGAGGCCTCAATAACGCCGGTTGAACAACGCCGGTAACCCCCTATAGCGCCGGTGAAATTGCTGGGCACAGCCAGAGGGCGTAATAGCGCCACACCGGCCTTATTGAGGGTGGCCCGCAATAACGCCGGTTTGGGCACCTCTACACCCCACAATAGCGCCGTTTTTTTTTTTTACACACACAAACCACACACCACGTGCATGTACAGACCCTACAGCCTTACGTAGAGGCGCTCCATGCCAGTCGCCCGACAATTCGGCAGAACCCCCCCATGGTCAACGCTGTCACAACGGATGTGGCGGGCGGCTCCACGGCAATTGCGGAAGCATCGCAAACGACAACGAAATGCGCCGCATCTGCAGTCCGTGTCTAGCCAAAGCTGACAAGGCGAAAGTACTGTTGCACATTTCTCGTCCACATCTGTTTTACTTTTTCCATTCAATGGTACATTGGATGCAATTGTGGCGTCATTTCGCTGTCGCAAAGTCCTCTCTGCAACAGCAACTTTTCTGGCTGCACAGCGCCTATTTGTGAGGCAGGAGGATCAGCATGCTGCCGCCTTTCTAGATGATCATTTAGTAAACACAACAACTCTAGGCAGTCCAGGAACATACCGTAAACTACGGAGTGTTACCCCCGGGTTAGAGTTTCCCCCCTCACACACACTACCTTTGTGGCCTGGAAGCATGAGTTCGTTGATTTAGCCCCGGGGTAGATCGTTTTCAGCAAAAAAAACAAGATCCCCCCGGGTATGTCAACTCCCCCCCGGGGTACTATTTTTCCCACGGGTTCCCCCCGGGGGGGGTGTATTTCCCATATTTTCTGCGTCGATTTTTGTGCATCGCGGAGCACAAAAAGCATGATAAAGGACGGAAAATTCACTTGCAGATATGTGCTTCGAGCGAGATTTAGGTGTACTGTTCGTCAGTTGGCCCTCGCCGTTGTTTTATGGGTAAAATGCTTTCGTTTTTTTGTCTATTTCTTGCATTTGTCATGGAATCAGCTGAAACGTACCGTAAGCATGCTGACGAAACCTGGCGCTCAAAGGGAAAACATGATCGTACTTGTTTTTGGATCTCACAACTCAAGGTAGAACCGAAGCATAAGAAAAGCTTCTTCCTGCGGACGAAGTGCGAATTCTTGTGCATAAGTTTAGGCAATGGTACCTCTTGCTGTCTTTTTCTCTTCGTCATTGTTGCTCTTACGTTCCTCCTCCCTCTGCTTGTTGAATGCTTGCTCGTAAACCTTTATCCATCTCAGTTTCATCACTCTCTGCGTGTGTGGTGTGTGGACCATTATTGTTTTGCACAACCCCCCCGGGGGGGGGCTTTCCCCCAGGGTAGCGTTGGAAAAAAACAAACTAACCCCCCGCGGTACGTCAATTTCCCGCCAGGGGGGGTTGGTGAAAGAAAAAAAACGATCCCCTCCCCGGGGGAAAACTCCGTAGCTTGCGGTAATTTATCCTTTGCAGTCCGCCTACTTCACCTCCCAGTCGTTTCTTATTCAATTTGTGAATATGTTGGCTCCGTAAAGCGCAGTCAATCGCCGCGCCATCTGATCACAAACCCCTCAATAGAGCCACAACCGGCGATATTGAGGGTTTCTCAGCCCTCAAAAGCGTCGGTTGTGGCTCTATTGAGGCACTATTATTCCAATAGCGCCGGTCGCTCTGAAAAGCGCCGGTCGATACGCTGGGCAAATGACGGCGTTTTTTAGGGCCCCCCACTGTACCAGCAAATCTACACGTAGAAAATTGAAAATGATAGTGCGAATCATGTGTAATACAAGTTAGTACTCAGCACCTTTGCATTGTGACGTTGAACACTTGGAAAATACCTCGGTGCGGCAGGCTTCTCGTTCCTTGCGGGGAATGTTCTTGATCTTGATTATCTTCGCGCACACGAGTCTTCGCTGCTGCCGATGCCGCATGAGATACACCTTTCCAAATGACCCAACCCCTAGTACCTTAATCCTCTCGTACTTCTCCATCTCTGCTTCTAAGTGGCTGCAGCCGTGCAAGCTGTTGCGTCTACTATTGCAGTCAGCAATCTACGTAAGTATGTAGATCTTCAGCCGGCCTGTCACCGATCTGCGTGTTCGTGGTTGTTGCGTCGCGCCGGCGTATGTCCGACTCGCAATGACCCTGGGCTCCACGGAGAGACCCAGCAAGAGTCTTTCCCTCGCCACTTCTGCACGATGCTTTTGTGCTCCAACGGGAGTCGAAGCAGGTGTGGGGCCGTGTGTTTCGCAGTCCGTGTTTCGTCGGAGATCGGATCTTTTTCGGCAGTTTTACAAATAATGCGGCGCAATTAGAGATCTCCGACGGCCCCACCGCCCACCGCGCTGGCTTGGACGAACACACAACGTGCATGCACACGATACGCCATGCGACTCTTCCCAACAAAGGCAAAGCTGTACACACATCTCGTCGCCCGTCGAGCATTGTCTTCCGTGGGGAAGGGCAGCAGGTTCGACATCACCCATCGCTCTCACGTCGTGCGAGATAGCTCTGCTCAGAAGGACATCAACGCAAGAGCATGGAAGCTAAGCGGCGCTTTCACACGCCTCGACCGGAGCGTGAGTGTTACCGTGGTCCCATTATCCTCACTCACCCACTGACTGGTTGAAAGCGAATGCCCCACCTTGGCTGGGTATTCCGTGGTGATCGGTGTTGAGTTACTTTGTGAGTTGCTGTGTTGCTACGTGCTTTGAAGGTGTTATTACGCTCTTAGGACACTCTGGAACGGAATGTGTTGGGGATATTTCCTGGAGCAGACCTACGGACGCGGGGTGCATGTCACCGACACATGGTTGCTGGCGGAAGCCGGGAGCCGTATTTCTGCCGCCATATACGATGTTGCCAGAACTCTACGCCCACACGCTGTGGTTGATTCTGTTTCTGCCGCCGCAAAGCAGCAACCAGAGTTGTGCCTGTGGTGCACACATGGTGCTGCGCGGTAATACGGCAGCAATAGTTACGCCGCACATGCGACAGGCAGGTTGCACACGACACCACACCCCCTGGACCCTCTGGACCGATTTTCAAAGCTCTAGTACTGCACGACGAATAGGATGCCACAACCAAGTTATACCTTCTCGGAAAGCTCTCTACAAGACGGTTCCAATCCCGCCAGTTTCGGCACCGAAACTGTTTAGCTGTACCCATGACTTCTCGAGCTTTGAAAGTCGATCCAGGGGGTGTGGTATCTTACGCAACTCACTGCGAGATTATCGAGTGTCGAGGCAAACGGAGACACGACGCTGCTGTCCCCTCACGGGTACGTAGGGAGTACGCTATTTGGTCTGATTCTGTGAGAAGCAAAATAAATCATCTCAAAGTACGTGCCTAGCGATCTGTTCATTTCCGGAGTTTTGGTTGACTTACTGTCAAAGAGAGTCTTCAACTGGAAGTTACCTCTGCCCTTCGTCATCCCGTCAGAGTTGTTCTGCCAGCTTGTCGCAACTTGTTCGTCTTTCATGACCAGCGATTTCAAGCGAAGATACAATTTCCTTTTCTGAAGTTTGCTTACGCTTGGTATTGACGCAGACAGATGGCCAACTCCAGCGCGTGCGGCGCTTTGGGCGGCCACGCTGTGGGCGCCGGATGTCGCATCGAGCATTATTACACATAGACATTCGAGCATGCACTTCAGGACGCCAATGGCTTACTCTGGTGTAAACACTCTGTTGTAGCCGTCGGCCATATGGAAGGCGACCGCCGCCGACTTCGTCGACCCGGCCTTTCATAGGAATTGCACCGAGCACCGTATGTGACGGGAAATAAGTTGAAGACATCAAAGCGTCTGAAGATACTTCTGAATTTGATTCGGTCTATCGGCACGACGACTGTACGTACCCAATCGTTCTGAGTCCCCTGGAACTGATCACTGCCACTGCCCTTGTCTGATGCTGCCGGCGTTGTGGTGGACATTGGTGCCGCTATTGCTGCTGTTTTTTGTCGTGTTCTGCATCGTTTTTCTTGCCGTCGACGAAAAATCAAAACATTGGTAAACTTCAAAGTTCGAGGTTTTCGAGGTGAGCAAGGCCGGCGGGCTGAAGCGCACGAGCATCACCTTGGCGGACGTGCTTCGCAACTTCGGCGTCCACGCCCGCGACGTGCTGTCTCTCGGGCTGCAGGTAAGGAGGGGGAGGAGGAGGAGCAGGAGGAGGGGGAGAAAGACTAGGAGGAGGAGGGGTTGGAGGAGGAGGAGGAGGAGAGTTTTGGGAGGTTGAAGGGGGTTTACGCATTCGAAGGGCGCGTGTTTTCTGCGATTTGCTGAGTTCTGCTTACCCATCTGCAGGCGCTGGTGAACGCCCCAGCCCCCTAAACATTGGTTGAGAGCGGTTTTTGCGACGCTGACCGAAATCAGCCGACAAAAAATGTTGAAAACTCAAGTTCCGGGTGTTTTCTCGTTAGGAGCACCATGTTATGATCAGCCCGCGCTCTCGTCGTATCTATATTCCGTTTCTGAGTCTCACCCGCACTCCCGTTATATTTACAATCTTTCTTGAGTCTCACTGCGTGGTGTTCGTGAACGTACGGATCCGTACCCAACCCAGCTAAATCCTCAACACAACCCAACCCCAACCCGACCGACCAACCGACCGGCCATTTTCAATTGATCGTGTTTCCTTCTTTGCTCCCCTCCGCCCTTTTTTTTCCTGCGATTTCTCCGCTCTCACCATTTGGCCCACCCACCCGTCCGCAGGACGAGAGATTTAACCCGCCGCCGGCGGTGCTACCTCGCGAGGGGGTAGTGGTGGTAGCGCTGGGCCCCTTCAAGGCGCTGGTGCACACGGAGGCGTGCGTGCTGTTCGAGGCAGAGAAGATAGACGTGTCGTACATCGCGCCCATCCTCGCGGACCTGGTCCAGGCGAACAACGAGGCGAGAGCAGCAGAGGTGTAGCTTGGTGTTGGCGGCGGGAGCGGTGATGCCGTTGTTTTTGTGTCTTGTGATCTGCGGGTGTTGTTGTTTATCGTCGTCGTCGTCGTCGTCGTCGTCGTTGTCGTCGTTGTCGGTGTTGGTGTTTTGCGATTTGTGATCTGTGGTTATTGTTGTTTATCGTGAGTGTTGTGTATCGTTGTTGTTGTTGTCGGTTGTAAAATGTGCTTGTTGTTGCTGTTGCCGTCGTCCTTACCACCCATTTCATGAACATCGTGTTCGCCACACACCGGCACGCTTGCGCTTGGCTTGTGGTGACGACTGGCTATTGCATATTCTTCCCGGTGCAAATGGCTCTGCAGGGTAGCCATCTATGTTTGGAGGCAAGTCTGCGTGAATCAACACTCACCCTCGCGATGAACAGTGCAAGCGCGAGCTGCCGAGACAGGTTACGCGGGCTTTTTTGTTAGCAAGGAAATTGTGCGCTCTAACACTGCAAACGGTTGCTATCGATGCAGGTTCCGCCGTCGGAAGACGTGCGGAATCCCGCGACGTCGGCACCACCACAGCCACCATCGTCGGCAGCAGCAGTAGCCGGCGACGAGGAAAACGGAGACGGAAGCAAAGCGGCTCTTGGTGGCGACGGCCCGAACGTGAGGGGCGGAGAAGACGGCGCTGCTGCTGCCACGGCTGTCGGCAGCAGGAGACCACCAGCAGCAGGAGCAGCAGCAGAGGCGGCGGCCGGGGGCGGGGGACACGATTCAAGCTCGCCTGAGACGAGGTTGGGGCTCCAGCCGTCGGCAGGAGCTCCTCAGACGTCGACGGCCACAGCGAGAACAAGAGCAGAGGGGGACGAGTCCGCTGCCGACAAGCTCGCGGCCAAGTTCGGGGACTACGTCCAGGAGGCTTATCGGTTCGGAGCGGGGGTCGCGTCGAGCGAAGAGCTGTGGGGAAAGAAACGGGACAAAGACGCCGCCGCGCTGCAGGATGAAGGGGAGGAGGAGGCGGAGGAGGAGCACCACCAGATGAAGGTCATGTTTAGGGAGCAGCTGCCGATGCCGTTCGAGCTGGCGATGCTCGAGGTTATGCTGCAGGAGGTGAGCGAGACGGTGTCATCGGGAAACGGCAGCAATTTTCAACCACTAACATGGAGAGCGGTAGGAGCAGCATCGCATTTGTAGCAGCTTGGGTGACCAGCAAGATTGGGAATGCACACGGGAAGATTGCTGTCGGTCAGTCCTTGAGATTGGCGGGTGGGGAAGGGCCGTACACCCTCAACGAGGCCCAGAGCGCGAGAGATTGTATTTTTTTCTAGGCTGGGTGTGATTTGTCCTAACGGGACGGGTGTAGGATGGAGTACCATTTATTCAGGAACGAGAGGTGTAGATACACGAGAGACACGTTTGTTTTTTCTGAGAAAGGCCTGCCATGTACGTGACCGTAACCTAGCACATGTACATCAGGTGTGCACTAGCTACCACCGACGAGCGCACATCGTGAGGAGGCTTATGGAGCAGGGGCTCAAGCCAAGCGAGACGACGTCGTTCTTCGCGCCGAGTAGAATAGAGCACTACCGGCTCGTGCCGCTTAAGCTGGCGCTCAAGCAGCTGGAGCTGAAGCTCTCCCAGGTGAGCGCAATCTGTTGTTGTTGTTATTGTAGTTGTTGTTTGCTGTGATTGTTGCTGTCCTTGTTGTTGATGATATGCTGTTGTTGTTGCTTTTCCAGTGTCTTATTGATTTCCGTTCCTCAGTACACATGAGCTCAATTTCGCAGAGCCGTGGCCAATGGAGTCAACAGGCCCCTTTGATGACAGCTTCAATTGACATGAGACCTCAGGCAGCAAGGGGCACGCACGACTCGAAAATCAAAAGGCCACCCACAACCAGCGGTACTCACTTGGCGGTATTCACTTACGGCCAACCTCCAACTGCTATTGATGGTATCTTGCTGTCTGTCACGTTCCCCGGGTCCTTTCCTTTTCATGTGTGTTGGGACAAACACGTATTTCAACACGTATTTCAACACGTGTTTAAACACGAAGTATTTATCACCATTGGAAGGGGCCAGCAGGAATCGCGGATGGGTGCAGCCCCGATGCTTAGCACCGGCAGCGACCAGCTCTCGATGGGACAGACATTTTTGTTTTTGTTTCCAATTGTTGCAGACGAGGGCTTGTCTGGAGGAGCTGATGCAGAGCGACGAAGACATGCTAGGCCTGCTGCTGACAGAGGCCAAGGAGCTGCGAAATGGGCAGGTGATAAATTTGACACGCACAGCGGCACCAGTCGGCGGCAACACTATGCGCGTACAAGCCGATACCGTGATCGAACCTAGACCACTGAAATGTATATTTTCTCGGTGCCTTTTCCCAGGCTCGGCTACGACAACCCGGCAGGAAATTGTTTCAAGCGCCAATGATAGCATGTAGCTCTTCTCCATGTTTTTGTATCCTCTGGTGTAGCTTTTCTCCGTATACATGCTCTGTTTTTTTGCGTTGGGCTGGACGGGAATGACGGTGAAGCCATGCCAGGTTTTCGTTTTTTCTAGTTCGCGTTTGAAATACCCCCAAATTGTAGTTTGAACGAATGCGGTCGAGGCTGGTTTCGTTTGGACGTACACAACCAGTAGGCCCCTGCTGCTAGAATAGTATCAACGTCACATCTTTCACGACGTGTTTTTGGAATAATTCTACTTTTGACCACCAGCTTGTCCGTACGGTGCTTTGTTGTCTCTCCTAATCTGAACAACGCGCGGGACAGATGTTGGACGCACATCGCCACTCGGTTGTGGAGCTGCTCCTGGAGAACTACCACAGGCAGCTGGTGCTGGTGGGGCACGACGTGGCCGCGATGAAGCAGGAGATGGAGTCGCTCCAGGAGCTGTCCGCCATCAGCCTCGACGTGAGCCTCAACAGCATGATCGCGGTGGACGTCCGCCTGGCCATGCTCAACCTAGGGGTGGCCACGTCAGCCTGCATCTTCGGCGCCATGGGTGAGTTAACTGGCTAAATACATCATCGCATTTGAGTGTCAACGCACACAAGCCGCAATTGCAGTGGCACCGCCGTCCGCCTACCGTATATGACACAAGATAACACACCCCCTTGACCAATTTTCGAAGCTCGATTTCTCAACTGCAGGAACAGCCACAGCGCCGAAAACGGCGGCGTTGAAACCGTCTCGTCGAGAGCTTTTCGAAAATGTATCGTTTCGTTTATGAATCCTATTCGTCGTGAAGTAACCGAGCTTTGAAAATCGATCCAGGGTGTGTGTTATCTTGTGTCATATACGGTAGTTCCCGTACAAAGAGGGTACCGGCCTACAACAGGAAACGTAGACCGGTCTGCATGAGTTTTCATGAAACAATGCGAGGCGTGTACTCATGTCGTCCGGACTTCGACGACAAAATGTTTGATTTGCGCTACAGAGAAACTTCTGCACGGAATTTCTCGGCAGGTGGTCCCGAATCGGAACTCGTCAACGGACAAAGTTGAGGCCGTAAAAGGAGGAATAGGTAGCAATGTAGCCCTGAGGGTGACGATTCTGAATGGGACGACTTCACGACAAGCTTGGTGTTGTTTCCACAGGTGCGAAGCTACGTTCTAAATCGACAGGGTCCATCCCGGTCCTGACGACATTGCGTTCTAAAATTGACTTGAAGATAGCATCGGCATGTCCTTCCTTTGTCTGTTTTTTAGAAATATCTCCCCCCTGTAAAATCCTGTATCTCTACTTGTACGTGTTTTTTTTGTTCGGAAGACAAGTCAACAGCGTCCATTCCGATCCTTTTTTGTGTTTCTTTCTGCCAGGGATGAACACGATCAACGGGCTGGAGTCGTCTCACGTGGGCTTTTATTGCCTTCTCGTCGGCAGCGCGGCCGCCTCGGCAATGGCTCTGGGAGGTGTCATGAGGCACCTGCGGTGAGTGAACCTCGTGTGGTTTTACACCCGGAATAAACACACCACTTTCGGTTGGGCGCGTAACATCCTTGCAGCAAACGCTAGTGTTTGTTTTTGGTGCGGACTGTCGCGTACATGCACCCTCCCAGCCTTTCCTTTTAGACAGAGAGGTGAGGGACAGGCAACCCTAAGATACGCAAGCAGATTCTCTTTCGTTCTGTGCTGAGAGGTCGTTCCGTGCTACCGTCGTTGTGAGCTGTCTCTGCGATAAGCGTCTCAGCAGCAGCAGCATGTTGTATGTATACATGCCTAAACACGTTTATTGTAACGTCTTCTTCGTTGCATTGACCCCACCAACCGGGTGGACGGTGACTCAAAACCCTACCGGGATCACGTAAGGCCCCCTTCCGTCCCTCGAGATCGAGCGTTTTTGTGTGCGTGTCTTTTCCGTCCATCCCTCACGCTGGTGCAATCTATTTATTTACAAGGCCGCGTCTTGTGGGAAATATTTGACGAGGTTATCAAAAAGAGTTGTCCATTCGCCGCGTGAAACGAACCCCCTCCCCTCAATCCGGTGGAAAGTAGAGCGTTTGGGAGACGAGGGGACACGGAATGAATTCCAGAAGGGACTGGCTGGTAGTGTAGAACCCTTCAGGAAACTTCTGAGAAGCGTCGAAGACGGACAGGTAGACGTACAAGCAGCAGGGGACAGGGCGATTGAAGGGTGGGAGTCCATAGTGAACGCAACGGCAGAGAGAGTAGTGGGAAAGAAGGTGGTACGATGTGGGTATCGGTTAAGTGGTGGGATGACGAGCTGAAAGGAGAAATAGGGGAACGTAGAGGACTCATCAAGCAGTACCTGAGTGAGGCGTCTGAGGAGAGTTGGGAAAAGTACAGGGCCAAGAGAAAACAGGTGAAGGGACTAGTGAAAAAGAAGAAAAAGTGCATTTGGGACGAAGTAGTGCAGAAGACCAACGGGGGCCTGGAGGGGAACGTCAAGCAGATGTGGGAAAGGATTAGTGGAATGGTAAAAAAGACCGCGCAAGGGGGAGATACAGGGGTAGCAACTTTGCGAGGTGTGAACGGCGGATTAGTCAGCAGTGGGAAGGGAAAAAGGTAAGTTCTAGCAGGACACTACAAGAGACTTGGAGTGCCCTCGGAGAATGAAGCTTTTGACCAAGTGTTTAAGGAGGTGGACGGATGGGCCCAGAAAGAAGAAGAGACATCGAAGGCAGACGTTGGGAACGTAGAACTAGAAAAGGAGTTCACTGAGGACGAGGTTGAGGCGTGTGTGAACAAGCTGAAGTGCCACAAAGCAGCAGGAGCGAATGGGATAGTCAACGAGTTCATGAAGTTTGGGGGGAAGGGGATGATCCAGCTGATGGTACTGCTATGCAACTGGGTGTGGAAAAACGAGTATACGCCAAGTAGATGGAGGGAAGGAGTTGTCGTGAACTTGCTTAAGAAAGGAGACAAGACTGACCCAGGAAACTACAGGGGGATCACACTGTTGAACACAGCAGGAAAAGTGTTCTGTGAGCTGCTGAACGATAGGATAGTGGGAGTATTGGAGAAGGAACATAGCATTAGTGAGGGCCAGGCAGGTTTCCGCAAGAAGAGGGG